AGAGAGAGAGAGAGAGAGAGAGAGAGAGAGAGAGAGATTTTTGACTAAAAACGACGTTCCTTCATTCAAATCGATAGAATACATCGATTAATACAAATTCAAAATCGCTATAAATTGGAATGGATGAATCTAAAAACAAATTTACAACATCCGTGTTAATAGTATATAACAGCAAAATATCTACAAATATGACAAAGTTTACAAATATGACGAAATTGAAATGCTCGAAATACCCATATCTTCGAGTCTGTAGCGTTTAGGACGTCAATCTCATTGGTTGAATATGCATTGAATCGAAATTAATCTGTCAATCTAAATCGAACAAACACCAAAATAAAGACGAAAAAACAAATAATGCCGCAATAAGACGACGATCAACACAACATCGCACTAGGGCAACGAAATCACAAAAGAAAAAACTAAAAATATATGTGAAATCACTTATTTGAATGAAAAAGAAAGAAAAAAAGAGAGGGATAATTTTGAATAAAAAATTAACTCTGAAATCACCTCTCATTAGAGAATGAAGAACAAGAGAAAACTAGAGTTTATAATTGAAGAAAGAAGAAAAGCGAAGCTGGTTCCTTTTCGGTTCGACGCTCGTATTTTTTTAGATGTAGAAGCAAAGCAAGCCCCAATAAAGTCTGGCTCTCATCTAAATCTCAACCGACGTCCAGCTCTCGAGGGGATGGAGTCCTGGAGCTAACTACTCATCACAGTCTTACTCCATCCCAAGGCCGTTAAGGTTGGTGAAAAGCATTGTTTTGAGGGAGGGAAAGCGTGGTTGACAAGCCACTTCGGAGAAGCGATTGAAGTGCTTTCATCAAATGATACATATGGACTAAGTCATTCCCATCCCAAATTATTAATTCAAATTTTAATAATAACATTTATTTATATTAAATAATGTGTTGATATTTTTAAATCAATAATTTATAAAAAATAAATTTTAACTCATCTTAAAATTTCAAATACCATTTATAATGTTTCTTTTTATTTAATATATGAGACGTTATTTAAAAATAATTTGTAGTAAAATTAAACTTTGGTTACAAATAATTATGTAAAAAAAAAGGTTTAGTTTTGGTTTTCTTTATGATATTGTTAAAATTTTAAAAAAGTAAAAATTATTATTAATTAAAACAACTTTAGTTGTTATTTACAACTATTTTTTTAAAAAAAATATTATATAGAATTGAATTGAAACTGTTTGAAAAAAAATAATATTTGTTTAAAAAAATGAGAAGATTTTATAAAAATAAATAAATGAATAAATAAGGAATTCTATATTTAAGAACGGATATATGGTAATATAATTATATGTTAATTCACTCATGTAGACTAATGTAAAATATAAGTCGTGTTTAAAAATTATATATATATATATATATATATATATGATATTTTTAAATCTTAGTTTTAATTTTAAACCCAAATATTAAATAATTTTCTTATAATGGTAACTATCTCATTCTTTAACATTTTTTTAGATTTACTCAAATTAATCATATAAATTATTAAGAATTTAAAAATATTAAAAAATTAAAACAATGTTTAAATTGAAAAAAAAACTACATAATTAAAATAATTTGAATTCATAAACTATCATAAATTTAATTAAAAATATATATTAAGACTATAACAACTGAATTTTTAAGTTTTTTTATTTATTTTAGATTTAATTTATATAATAAATCGATTAATCTAATTTTGTAATTCAAAAAAACAATTCACAAATTAATAAATTTTAAATATTTAATTAAAACTAATTTTACTGTATACATTTTTTTAAAATGTTAATCCAACTAACCGCCACTGAAATAGTAATTTGTCTAAATATTATACCACTAAACAAAGAATGAAACGAAAACTACATTAATAAAAATATTACTATTTTTTCTTTACTTATACATAATTTTTTTATTTATGTAAATTTGTTAGCTAGGACAAATTTGATAGAAATACTTTAATAAATACAACTGTTTTTCCTTTAGGAATTCATTATTTTAGTTAAGAAATGTGAACAATACTACGTTAACACTCAAAGGGTGAATAACTATGATTGAATACTTATAATAATTATTTAATATAACTATTCATTTTTTACTATAGTGTAATATGCTATTAGTATTTTTTGGATGCCAAAGTGGCAAATAGATTGTGTGTCGGTAATAAAGGATGGTAGTCAAAGTCAACTATGCTATTGGAGATAAATAAAAGAGCCCTTTATTCAGCATTTTATTAAAAAAATAACATTAAATAAAGAGGTCTAATCCAACAGGAGTGTAGAAGAAGAATGTAAAACATGCATATGAAGATGACACCATGTCAATTTAATTATAAAAAATTATTTTTAAATGTTTTAAATAATTAATATTGAAATTTCAAAATATAAATATCATTCCTCTTAAAACATTCTCCTTCAAAACACTCTCAAAAACAAACTCTTAAACCGAATTAAA